GTTTAGATTAATTCTGTACAGAAAAAAAAGGCAGAATACGTAGGAAACTAATTGGAGAAAAACACTGTTTAATTATTAAATAGTAACAAGAAAAAAAGAGAATCTTATCAGACGATATAGTTAAATAGATTAACTCATTGAATGAATGTTCTTTTGTTATTAGTTCTCCATTTTTTAGTTCACATGGTAAACCCATAAATAACTATAGCTCTTGTTACTATGATCAAATCATCTACTCCTGTAAGTACTATTTCCTCGGTGGACACAAATAATCAAGTGGGAAAACTCATTCGGGCATACCCAGCCATTCCTATCCATTCCAATATATTCCTAGCTATTCTAAAATTTTCTCACCTAGGGATGGACCATTTTTCTAAATGAGACTTTGAAGTAGTGTCAGTTAACACAAAACTTCAGATGTTTTTTTCTTTTTAACACTTCACATTTGGAATTTATTGCTAATTGATGATATTGAACTTAATGTTAAATTAATGTAAATGGTCCACCCCTACTCTCATGTAGTGTTATTTTTCATAAATTACTGTATCTGTCTTTAGAACCTTGACATTTTCTAACGGTTATAGCTTTTCATTGATTGAAAACTACGCATTATCCGAATTCAAGTACATAAATAATATAGATGAAATGAAAAAAAATCATTTGAGATGTGGAGTATTTTTACTCTAAACGTACAGCAGGGATTTGATCTCTAGGTCCAGAAAAACATTGTGTTTTTCTTGAGCAAAGTGATTGTATCTTTTAGATGATCAATCACTTAAGTCATTGAAAGTCTTGCTCTCATCTAACCTTGGCAGCCTGCGATATCCGTGATTCGGAATTATTCTAAATCATCCCCATTTGTACATACTGAATGATTATTTTGTTATAATATTCAAGTAACTTTCAAGGATAAGAAAAATCATATTAAGCAGACTAGTTACATAAATGTTTTACATTCAATTTGATTTCAATAGTATTCAGTTAATTCGGAAAAAAAAGATACATTTAGTAGTAGTAGCATTTAAATAGTCACCTAGTTGAGCGACCAGTCGAATTCTTTACTATCTGTTTTCCTTTATGCTTCGAATCAATTTTCTAAACACTTTATCTATTTTGCTCTTTACAATAACTAATATATCTATGTATGCATATTAAATCGAAAAAGTACACTTTTGTGAAGGTACTGACTATAGTGAGTTTTCCAAGGTGAATCCTACGGATTCCAATGAATTTTTGTCTATGATACTGCACGATGCTAAAGTAAAAACATGAAAAGATTTTGAATGCATAGCACTTTCTTGAAAAATTACGCTTATTTTTCAGATTTTCTTTCTTTTTGAGTTACTAGAAAGTGAAATAATCGGATTTTGCTCAGAAATTTTGTTAATACATAGGCCGACTGAACACTAAGACACCATGAAAATTTTAGCAATAACAATTGTGTTCTTCGATATATACTCACTTTTTGAAGGAATATATTTAAAAGAACATATTTATTATTGCTAAAAGTTTCATAGTGTTTAGTCTATCGCTTTATTAACAAATTTTCGAATCAAAATTTGTTTATTTCACTTTCTGATAACTCAAAAAAAAAGGAAAACGATTATACTATTTTCAACAGGCTCGGAATGAGTTTTTTTCCTTGAATATATCACTCGCGGAAGGCCAATGCCTACGTGCTAAATTACCCGATACTGCTAATGTTGCTATTCAAATTGGTGGTACACAAGTTCATGAACGATATGCAACTAAACAAAATGATTTCGATGAAAAAAAAGTATTCGTATTATTTCTAAATGTTCATTGAATCAAGAGATACTAGGTTTTGTATAGAGGTATTGACGATGATATTCAAATGAGTGAATTTGCTTTACAAAAAAACGTTCCTTTGGAAGTTGCTCACCTAGATTTACTTGCTACAGCTGGACCACGAACAATACATGTTTATGATAAACTATGTGTAGCCGTTCTTTCAACTGATAGTGGGAAAACTCGTGATAGTAATAGAATCATGGTTATGAGTGCATTAAAAGGATTAAATATACAACATACTATTTACTTTCAGTGTGGCATTATATATTACAAGTAACTTTGATTCGTATTCTGTATCTTTCCAAACAGCTATTTCGAGAATTTATTCTAATGAAACATCGGTTATTCAAACATTACAATCTTATCATCCAATAATTCATGTGCAAGTATATATATACTTGAATTAACATACGAAATTTTTTATTTGATCATTTAGTTTAATCAACTCATCATTAACTATCATGATCCACGACCTGAATATATCCGTGTCATTATTGTTGAATGGTCAATAAAATTCTCAATTTTCATAGCACGCACTGTTTCACCAGATAATCAATATAGTTCACGTTTACTCAACGCTCGACGCTGTGAAAATTTCGATGATTAGCTATAGTCAACAAGTTGATTGATTTAACATCAGAAAAGCTCAAATGACATTTTTTCATCGGGGCACATGATTTCTTTTTCTGGTGATTATAAAAAGTCATGTTGTGAGAAAATCACATTGTCATTCCTTCTTGTGAATGAAACATTGAGTCTGCTAACTTCATATATCAGTGCACATCAACAGTTGAGTTTTTTGGTCACGTGAGTGTTTCTCTATTCAACATAATCTTTCACATTTTTTCTTGATTTATAAATGAAAGTGTTGCTTTGGTAAGTCGATGTTGCGATCAACCTGAATATTTTCTTCATCGCAACATGTATTGTGATCCGTAGAGATTATTTGCCTGTTGGTAAGTTTTTAATAAGCAATCTTTCTCGATCAGATGTGGGGTATGATATTATTCTCATTCTGACACATCACTTAGTTGCGTTCTATCGTTTGGGTCCATTCGTGAAGGACACCACTTCGATTAATTCTTCAAAGATAAAAAATAGATTAACAGTCAAACTTTACTTTAACATTTCAATTCTTGCAATGTCAGTTAGTTCGAGTTTGTCTTTCAGCATGTCTTTGTCAGTGAAAAATAATGATACAGAAATTAAATAATCGAACTATTAAGTATGCCGAATCCTTAACGACATATGACACATCGCTATAGACTACTAGATGTTGGTGCTCGTTTGCATCGTATTTCAATGATGATGAACCATTCGATATCATATGATATTTACCCCGATATGTTCAGTGCTTAGAGAACAATAACAAAGGTGAATTGCTTCACTTAATGATACTTCTTTAGCAGTACGATATACACAATTGAAGTGCTCTGTATACTGTCTATCTATTTTTGTTGAAGTTTACAATGCTAAAATCCTTCAACGAATCATAATTTTCTTGAATTTAACCGCTCCACACCTCTAATGCGAAGAAATATGCAACGATAATCGTTCGATTGGATTCCTCGAAGATTTTTCTCGATAAACTATGATTACACTCTTCAATAATTAATAGCTAGAATAAATATTTTCTTCATGTTACCGAACTGATTTTTCTATGAATAGATTTTTTTTACACTGTCAATCATATGTGTACCATATTTTTGTTTTTCATGCTTAGTTTATTATTCGGTAAATGATTCGTTTAAAAATATCACTGAATAATTTAGATTCAAGCAACTGTTTTTCAATTGAGTTCAATTAGAACTAAACAATTTGCTCAATACTTTATTCTGAAACATAAAACACTGCCAATCGAATATAGTAAATTACATGGATTATTATTTCATCCGTATTATTAATCATCAAATGTATCGAATTTTCGATTTTAGTATCTTTTGGATAATTACGCCACAACATTGGTATTATACGATTGAACATGCATTGACAACTTCTCATTTTTTTTTGTAGTTAATTTTCTCACAATCCTATCATCAGTATTGTCAGTAGTTGGAGTTATGACATGGAAGCATGAACACTATTGGAAACTTACAGTTGCTGATCAAATAAACGCCATCTTTAACAATCGAGTCATTTCTATGGGAATTACACGTCCTTTGTGAAGCGACCCTTCTTGTATAAAAAAAGAGTAGAGATAAAAATGATTTCGTACTCTGCATCTCCACGAGTAAAATTGCTCATTACAACTTACCAAGAGATAAATGATCTTTAGTGATCAAATACATGTTGCGATGACGAAATTGTGCTGGTTGTTGGAAACAATGATCTGCCAGAGCAACACTTTTCTTAAAATTAAAATGCACTATCGATTTATTGTACGAATCTACCCAGGAGGATCATCCTGCCGTCTGAAAGGCCATCGGAAACGGCTATAAAACGACATAAAACGGCATTAATTTTCACCCTATTTCGCTGTAATCCGTCAGCTCGTTTTACGGGCCGTTTATTTTTGCTAGAAAACGGCCATCGCTTTTAACACTATTCTCTTCGTTTTCCGAGCTGACGGAAAACGGCGCCGTTTTTTAACGTTTTACATCGTTTTTATGCCGTTTCAGGCCGTTTACGGACCGTTTTCTTTCTCCTGGGTATGCTTAATAATTTGTATTCAAATACCCTGTTGCAAAAGACGAACTTATTTTTTTCTAAAATTCTCCTGTTTTTTGAAAATTAAGATGATGAATAGGTTGTTGATGTCATCTTTTCCAATGAGAACGATCTGTTTATGCACACTATAAAATCACATTACGTTTTCCTGAATATTACTTTTCGATGAGTAGCACTATCAATATTCAATAAACTCAGGAGAATATAAACGAATGGACTTCTTTTTTGCAAGCTGATTCTTCACAACTATGTGTATGTTCGTAGCGATTGTGTTTGTTTTATCCGTCATTATTGAGTATTTATATTTTTTTAACGGAGAATGAAAATATTTAATTTCTTCTAAAACTAAAATGGAAAGTTTATTTCGATGTTGATAATACCATGGAAGATAAAAGTAATGTACTCACATTATCTAGATTTAATGAAATAATTTGAAGAAGATTTACCGAAAAATAACTAAAACGAAAACAAAAATAGCTAAATTTCATGACTGAAAATCAACTAATTGATTCAAATCCAGATCATGAGAATGACCGACTATACGAAATGGTACATGTCATATAGTTCAGTGTCTTACATCTTAAATGACAGTAAATAATCAAAACTTCACAAATAAAAGAAGACATTTCTAATAAATCAACAAACTTATTCGAGAATATACTCGTTGATATATACCCTGTGTCGGTCGACTTGTTTCCCGACACTGAGATATCATAATGCGAAGAAACCAGTAGATGGATAAAAAATAGAAAATATGCTTTTTCACAATGAAACACACAATGAGTCGCTTCACGAAGATTATACTGTTTTTTTATCTAGACACCTCGTCGAAAGCTGCAAAAATGAAGCTGATAGATTGAGATGTCCTTCTGTGGTAATTTTTACGATCAACATTTTTCACATTAGCTATTCTTCAATCTTGTAGTCACCAATCAAGCGCAATTTTCAATTTGTAGGTATTACAAGAAGAATGATATTCATTGATGGAAAACATATTATATAACTGCAATAAAACAACCGTACTCGTAATATGCAGTAATTCACAACGTCGAACTAAATTGAAATATAATTATAGGATAAATTATAATCATTTTAGATATCTACGTATTCATGAATAATGTGAATCCGAAAACGATATGGACTTCTCACGCTTATTTCATTTGACTAGTGTTAGTGTTGATACGAATTGATTATTGTATGACGATTACATTAAATCAAACACATTTAACTACAATACTTGTAACTATTTATTTTTATTTACTATAATGTTGAAAAACAAAATATTTTCTCATTGAGATTTTGGATCTAACAGCGATTAGAGATCATTTTACTGGTTGAGATATTTTTTTCGATACTTTCAACAATGAAAATAATTGAAAAACATGTACCACGTATCCTTGTTCTAGACTAACGCAAATAGAATTTTTTTTCCAGTAAATGGCATATCTTCCGATAAGAAATATCAACTTTTGTGTCAATCTTCTGAACATAGCTAGTTTCAATCATGTTTATTTAGATGGAAGTTTTTTACTTTGTATTCTCAAAATTGAAATTTTATCATTTACTATTTGATTCTTTTTTTCTATCAACAACGATTAATTAAATATATGTTGATTTATTTGTTTTCATAATCAAAATTTCTTACCATCACAGGAAGATATTCGGTATATAATTTTCGTTATTTTCTAGTGAAAAATGTATGCCAAAGATAAAAGATCGTCAATAAACGTTATCGGTGCATATACGATGTAACACGACAACATAAAAGATTAATTAGCGGTCTACGCCATATTACAAAATTTGGTTTTTTGTCACTCTTTTTAGGAATACTTGCGATCTTTACGATCACTTGCACAACAATCAATTAAACCATCAAAAGACTACTTTATGTAGTAAACGGGATGTTACATTTTACAAGCAGAAATGAAATTCATTTGATCTTGATTGTTTACCAATTCTCTATTTCTTACGAATAACAAAAATGACTATAAATAGTAATGATTTTCAACGTTTAAAATCATTCCCCATCTTTCTTTCTCTTCTTACTATAATACATGTATGTTTTATTTTTTTAACTATTTTAGTTTGTTATTCGTACTGATCATGGTTCAATATCATAGGTAAGTATTATTTTTAGCTCTTTTAATTTTATTTTTTTGTTGTCTCAGCTTTTTATCCCATTTATTTATTTTAATTTTATATGATTATAATTGTCTTTCTATTTTTCATTTTAGTTTCAATTCTACTTTTTTCTATTTCTATTTTATAATTGTTTTTCTATTATCTACACTCAAAAAAAAGGTACTTTATCGAACCTAAAAAGGTTTCGAATTTTGAAACGAATTCTGAAACTTTTTACGATACTGTACCGAACTTTGAAGGTTTCGTAGTCACACGAAACCTTTTCAATTTTGGTAAAAACCTAAGCATAGTTTCGTGTGACTTTACGAAACCTTTAAAGTTCGGTACAGTATCGTAAAAAGGTTTAGAATTCGTTTCAAAATTCGAAACCTTTTTAGGTTCGGTAAAGTACCTTTTTTTTTTCAGTGTATTTTAGTGATACAAAAGAGTAAGTATAATTTTTTGTATATATGTATATATTTTACGTCCTACAGAGGCCTTCCATACGTCGGCGTGAAACTGGCCAACCCTACTTTGGTGCCCATAGCACGTACAAGCCGCATATAGATCTTCCTGTTGTATGTTCTATACACGCTAGATCTATGCCTGTACGTGAAGAGCCTTGGCTTTCTATGGCACCACCAAGGTAGTTCTTGGTCGCGCGAGCAACTATTAGCTGGTAAGCAAAAAAAAAATAATTTTTCATTCCAATCAATTTATTTCTGCTTGTTTCGTTTTAGTTCCATTCAACACTTCAATTCAATTCAATCAAAACAAATGTAAGTATAATTATTTTTCATTCTTGTTTTATTTTTATTGTAATTTTTTTTTGTTTTTTAAAATAAACTTTATTCAAATAACTCAAATCTTTTCTTTTCACTTGACTTATAAATAATTTCACTTCAACAATAAATATTTTTATGTTAACAATAAATAATTTCAAAAGAACTCAAATCTTTTTCTTTTGATTTGAATAATATAAAATTTCATTTAAATAACACAAATTTTCTTTGCATTTAAATCGTAAATATTTTCGAAACAATTAATTTTTTTCACTTTAATAATAAATATTTTTTGCGAAAAATAATTTCTACTTAATTTATTTCTTTTCATTTAACAAATAAATAAATAAGAGAAGAAGAAGAAAAGAAATATATGACGTAATTTTATATTTTTTTCTTTTCTTTGAAGCGAAAGAGTAAAAGAAAATTTCTTTTTTTTGTTCATTTATTTCAAAGTATAGAAAAAGAAACGAACAAAGAAAAAACAATTCGCAGGTCTTATTCGATAGAAAATCGTTGAACTCGAGTATTATTTTCATCGACGACATAGAGATTACCATGTCGATCGAAAGACAAACCAACGGGGTCGTTGAACTGATTTGCTCCTGCTCCTATGCCATTTCCACCCACAATTACAGTGCCTCGTTTCTTGTCTCCTTGAGTCCAACGCATTACACGATTATTCGACGAGTCTGCTACATAGAGTGTACCCAACGTATCAGCGAAGATTCCTCTAGGAAAAGACCTGCGAATTGTTTTATTCCCGTAGCCTTGTCCTCCAGCGACCACAATGCCTTCTTTTGCACCTTTATTCCATTTCATTACACGATGATTGTAGTAGTCTGATATGTAGACAGTCTGTTGTCGATCGACAAAGAGATATGTCGGCCAGTTGAGTTGATTGGCATCATTACCTTTTTCGTTA